ACACTATACCTATTTTGAATCACCCTGTATGATGCCTTTGTACCCTACAATCGAAATGATCCAAACAACTGATTCTACGTTCGTCGATGCGCGACGATCCGGCGGGCGCCGGATCGGTCTCGTTCCGTTTAATGATGTCTCGTTAGCGGAGAACTCCCGGCGTGTCGTGAAAAATATGAAATACGCTTTCGCGCCCCCCCTCACATCGTGTGGAGACGCACGGCGGACTAGCGCGGTATACAAATCAACGGGAAGTCACGTATGCCGCTCGGCAGTTATCTTTTTTGCTCCTTCGAAGGGAAAAGGCACCGACACTCGTGCTCCCCGTAACGCGATTTAACACCTTGAATTCGCCGATCTGCTGCCCACGTGGCGTCGGTTCGACTCGCGCCTCTCGCGACCGAGAGAGAGAGAGGGGCCTCCTCTCGCAATCTATTGTCCGTTCCATCGACTTTTTCCCTCTCGACAGGCGCGCGATTACATCATCGTAATCCTATTTACGCGAAGTCCCGACAAACCGAGCTGAAAATAAGAGGCGAGACGCAGGGGTTCAAGATGTTAAAATCGTCCGGCGAAAGTGGGATAAGTACAAAGTGGTTTCGTTGCTGATCTCGCAAGCCACTGATCCGCCCACCGTACTAACGCTCGTTCTGGCCACCTCGCCGCGCATCGCATTCCGGATTTTCTATCACAAAGATGTTGCTCGTTTTCTCTCTCTTTCCTCTTTTTTTTGTTCTCTTGGCGAATACGCCGCGTCTTACCGTTAAACACGCAGGGCGCACGTACGTGTACGTATGTATGTGTGTCTGGCTCTCGTATAAAGTAATTGACTACCTACTTATCATTAAGAAAAGGTACGTTGTTGTCGCATTCGGTTTCGCAATTTCTCTCCTCCCTCCCTACGCGTGAACACAGCTAGAAAGTTTGGAACATTTCAAATGTTGAGCGCCTCTTCCCCTTCCTCTCTCATTTATATAGTATATATACATACATATATTCTTACTCGCGTATACATACGCACGCGCATACACTCATGCGTGTACAATATATGTATATATGTATGCACATATCCATATATGTGTATATTATATATATATTATGTAAGAATATTAATAAAAGAATATGTCCGAATGCAACATTGCTCTCTTCTACATACGTAATATATTTGTATATATGTATAATATCTATATATATATTTATATTTATATATATATATATAGACTTTCCATATTCCTACGTAACAACAACATAACACTATTCCGAATAAGACTTTTAACAAAGTGAACACAAAGTTCCTACGCTAGGGCGAATTACATGCATTTAGCGTACGGTGCTAACTGTAAACCGTGAAAGTTGCTGAATTGTGCTACATATGGGAACGACCCGGTTCACGCCGGCCTCTTCGTCGCAACGGAGGCGCCGTTTCGCCGCGTGCAAACCGTCTCGATTTCATCTTTGTTATATAAGCCAAATCCTCTCGAGACCGGTACGCCGTTAAATGTTTAATCATATAATCTTTTTAACGTCACCGGTAGATTTTAGTCAGCGCCACGGCGCTTAATTTGCGCGAGGAAAGCGACGATTGCGATCTATTCGCCGAGAGGAGAAAATTAGTTCACTCCGCTGAATCGGGCCTCGAGATGAAGATGTGTGGGCATACTCGTCGGCATAAAACTGCGGCACCTCCGTTACGCGCGAAACCAGGCCGCGAGAAGATATTACGAGTCATCTTTGATTAAAATGTCGTCTACTTTTTCTTTTACAATACACATCTAGATTAATCCTCGTCGCTCGTGTATCCGGCAACAGTGACATAAATTCTACCGTGCCATGTTAAATATAACGTACGCTCCGATCCCCACGATTCCACTGTATTACTGAAACAATTATTTAAAAGTGTGTTATTCCTGCAATTGGTTAGCGCAAAGTAGGAATGCACCTCGTGCTTCTCAGAAATTACTTTAATCTCGAAACTACAGATATTCGCAATGTCGTTCGTTCGCGTAACAAAAATTGTTCCTTCGAGAAGATTCGCGTTTTGTTCATTGCACAATAAATATTGCACGTCTCAGCCTAGGTCCGACCGATCACTTTTCGGCGTTTCCGGTCGCACCGCCCAAATACCGAAAAGCACAGCAAGTTATTGGCGGTTTAACAAAATAATTTACAGATCTAACTTCTTTTCTGACAAATTTTGCAATCTTACTTCTCACTTCATGTTCTACGAGAAATTAACATTAACTTACAATTTCTATTAAGAGATTGATGAATTTAGCTTTTCTAAATATAACATACAGACATAAGCGTATAGAAACTTATTAAACAAAACGTAATAAATTGTACACTTTTTTATACTACTGTGTTAATTATATAATTTAGTATATATATATATATGTATATATAAATGCTCTTTATCTGTTGTACAAAGGTAAAATCGTTAACTATGCAATAAGCCTGACTAGCTATGTCGCAAAATTAAGCTTAATTCGGGATTAATGTACCGTGAACACAAGAAGAGTATCTCGAAGGAACAACTGATCTTACAGAATAGATCACAAATGAGAATTACAGCTTTCGACAACGCTTGTCACTAACATATTCACACATAGTACATGTAAATATATAGCATATATAAAAATAACACCGTAATGAAAAAAAAAACAAGAAATACGTACGTCTATCGCGTGTATAAAGCCAACATATGTATAAGTAAATATATATTATTGATGTTTCATAAATTTTCTATAATATATATATGTATATAAATAACAGGCCGAATGTGTACATCGACACGACATTGATATTGCATTGAAATTACACTTGATTTGAACGCGTTAGCTCTGCGAGATGCTGAATATCGTAAATAGCGAATGTATGGGACAAAAAAAAGACACTTAAAGTTAAAACCAGTGTATGATTTATAAGAGTGAATTCGGCGTTCGCTCGTTCGTGCCGAGCGTGACGTCGACGGCAACAAGCTTGTCTAACTGCACGTGGCAGCGGAAATTAATTCTTCAAATGTCGGCGCCAGCTCGTTAATCCAACAGCGGTATTAATCATCGATCAAAAATCTCAATAGCGGCAGTATCTTTAAATAACACGAGTGGATTTTTTTCTTCTCTCCAAGCATGAAAATTAATGTACCGCATACGCATCGCTACCCTCATCCCTGCACGGGAGGGTAGAACGAATTTGTTCTCACATCTTGTTAAATGATATAATAATTTTATATATGTATATATATGTATATGCATATATATATACATATATAAAATCAAATTTATATCTTAAATCAGAATATATCAAGTTTCTATCGAAATCACGTTTATTACGTAATCACAATCGATTGTGTGTGTATATATATATGTGTATACACACACACGCGAAATGAACTTTTACGGTAACTTTTTTTTAACACTTCATTCAATTCTCTGTTACGATGCATGTATAGCTAATTGTAAGATGCAAATAATATCTACTACAGAGCAAATATTTGTCACATCGGAACAAAACCGGTTATTTATACTCCAGTTTAAATGAGACTACAATGGGACGAATAACGGGAGTTCATTCCGAGAGTTTTGGGACTTGGCGCGGACGTTCCTCTCGGTGTGAAACAAAGCCCCAAGTTCTTCCTGCGCTTTTCTCTCGATTACGTGTTAACTCTTACCGAAAATATGTTTCCACGTGAAGTAAAAATATGATTTAGTTATGATTACCGCAATCTCTTCAGGATATACAGCGAGCGTATTACCGAAGGAGATTTAGGTAAATCACTTTATAACAAATACGCGACGCCATTTTAGGCTTGACCTTATCATTCGAAACACGAGCGGGGGCGCGCCGTTGTGCGCAACGTGAATAAAGCAACGAAGTTACGCTTTATTTTACACCGGTAACACATCCGCGTATCGAGTCCCGAAACCTTGCGAATTATTCCCGTCGCTCTTTTCCCTTATCATAAACTATAAACGCTTAAACAAATGGCGTTGCCAATTCGATTGTACAGCTTCAACGCATTCGACAACAACAGACAGATGTAACAAAACAGACGTAACAAAGCAGATATACAATTTATCGATTTGCGACAATTCTATGAAGATAAACAGATCCTCTCAATTCCTCGATATATGTATACATTATCGCGCGGGCATCACCGATGTTTAAGTTATTTCAAGAATTGATCGAAGAAACAACTCGTCATGATATGACATCTATTTTCACTTCACGCATATGCCAATGCGTAGTTTACTATTATCTATATAATATCCTACTTAAATTGCCACCTACTGTCTACCATTTTACAAGCAACCTTGCATCCGGAGTTTCAAACATTTATTACTCCAATTTATTATCATACCATATATACGTAACATGTAATAATGCGATACTTCTCGTCATAAAAAATCGTAAGCCTTAATTCGAACAAGGTCATTTGTAATTACAGGCTGGACATAATTCTCGTCACTGAAACGCGTTAACGAACCTGTTTCCAATATAAAAATTCACATTTACACTCACGATCTGCATATACATATCTGTCACGAATACATTTCAATTAAAAACTCTTTTCGACGACGGGTCGCAATACGACTGGGTTCGCGTCCATGGGATAAAACAATAATGTACAATTTCCGGGGAAAACAATTACGCTTTCTCGTTTCGGAGTTGCCCCCCCCCTTTTTGTTTTTTCTTCAAAATGAAACAGGTTTCTTAACTTTGTTTTCTTAAAACGATTCTCCTTACACCTTAAGAGCAGCTTTGGGGGACCAGTGGTGGAAACGGGCGGGTCCCGCGGGATAAGAGGGCTGATGTACCCATTTGTTTCCTCGGTGTCCCATGAAGGGAGGCGGCGAATGGCCACCGAGGAAATGCGGGGGCATTATATTGTACCACGGCGGGCTGATCGGATGCGGGCCGTAACCCATGCTGAAGGAATGGCCGAACCACGAACGGTTTCTGTTCAGGTGCAGCCTAGGACTGTTCAAGTTGCGCCTCTTACCTGTACCATTATTGCTATGCTGTTGATTTTGATTAGCGGCGCTTAATGGTTTTGATTTCGACTGCTGTTGCTCCGTGCTCGCGGCCAGGGGGGATTTCTGCAATCAGAACGGAATACATTTCCCCCGAGATATCGCGGCTGCGACGGCCAGATCGCGAGTGTGGCGAGCGAGGAAGATACAGAGTGCAAACAAGCCGCGGGACAACGAACGTCCGGGAATTAATCGTTTCGGAGACACTCGACTTCGATTTGTAAGTCGACAGGTTCTTTACGCAGCAATCCGTATCGATGCCCGACGAATGGATTCGGAGCGGACGAGATTATCCATCGCGCAGACATTTCGCCGAGGTTCGTACACGAAGGACAGGGGGTGTTGATTTAGAAATTGGGAAAAACTGAATAACCGAATGCCGTGAATTTTCTCGAACGCGGCAACGGCAAATCCCCTCGTCCATTCTGTCCAAGTTCGCGCGTGTAGAGAAGTAAACCCTGCCCGTTCTCACCTGCATCTTGATGGGCCCCACGTGGGCTGGCTTATCCTCGTTCTCTGCGAACTCGTTGCGCTCAAATAGGAAAATGGGCACGGTGTTCTCCTTGTCGTCGAACGACGCCAGGGTGCAGTACGAGCCCTTGCTCTCGCCAAATCGGCAGCACACCTCGTTGGGGTCGACCCAGAGCGTGAGCTCCACCGGCAGCGCCAGGTCCTCGTACTTGACGCCGGCCGCGCACGCGGCGCTCTCCAGGGTCGCGTCCCGACGATTGTGGCTGTTGACGCGGATGCAGCGGTAGCCCTGGCCCTTGAACGGCTTGTCGGGGAACCAGTGGTTCTTGAAGCGCTCCGTCAGCAGTTCGACCAAGTGCCGCTCGAAGCACTCGAGCTGAGCGGGACTAAATTTTTCGCTTTTTTCGATCAGATTTACCAAGAACAGTACCGCCGCCCTGATCTCGTTGAGCATTTTGCCGCTGCTGCACACCTGGATTACAGGCCAACCGGACGCACCTCTCGCGATACCACAGTAGCAAGCTCTTGGAAACTAAAGTACCATTCGCCCGAGTCGCGGTGGAGCACATAGAGCCCTTCTGCACCGTCGCGACGCTGGAATTCCTCAAGGTCTATGTTTCTGGCGTGAATGGCTGGGATGTTGGCCGCGCAACTGTGCCGCCGCGTAATTTTCTATCTATATGTGCCACGTGATCCGTGTATCCCGCTAACGCTGCTACAATCTGCGTGGAAACAGAGAGAGAGAGAGAGAAAGAGAAACGTTAATATCGGCCGCCTTGACTTCGAAACTTTGGAGCCTCCCGCGATCCAGAATCGAACTCGCGAATCGCAGGGCTCCGCTTCCTTCCGTTCGGCGAAATCGCCGCCGCGGCGAGAAACGTAAACGCGCACTTTTAATACGGCCTCGTCCCCCAGGCCGGGCCCGTCTAGCGTGACGCGAGGCTGCGCTCCGTCGGAAAACACGGGCCCGCGCGTCGAACGGCGACGCACGGCACGGCCACGTGTCCCGCCGGGCCGCGCGATCGGCGTGGCCGATGCTGCGCGGGCGAGCGCACCGTTGCGTCATCCGCGCGGCCGGTCGCGTCAGCGCGGCGAATCGGGGCGCAATATGTTATGCGTGCGCGCGCGAGCCGCGGGTTATACACAGCGCGACGACGGGGCGAAAGCAGGTTAGGGGGAGACGAGAACGCGGGGGGCGAACCGCGTCGCCCGCTCGCGCGCGACGCTCGTCCGCCCGGCCGGGTGGGCGCGTTTCCCGGCGACGGCGAACCAGTCGCCGCCGCCGCCGCCGTCGTCGTCGTCGTCGTCGCGATGCCAGATCGCTGGCCAGTTTACCGAGGTGCGCGCGACGTGCGCCGACCTCGTCGCCGCGAGCGAGTCGCGATTCTGCGGACGACGATGATGACGGCGGCAGCGGCGGTGGCGAGGAAGCGGGACTTGCGTCGCGGTCGACGGCGAGACAATAAAAACCGATTCTTACGGGTCGGCGACGGAGACTCGTTGCGTTGCCAGCGAAGCCACTTCTTACGTTCCTCTCTCTCTCCACAAGTAAACGTACTCGACCCAACACGTGTTACGTTGCACCCGTGGTCACGAAGTATATTCTCGACGTAGACGTCCGTCCCTCGTGGTCGCTTGTTCGCAAGTGGACGGGCTCACGCGCTGTGGACCGGGCTGGTGTAGAGACCTTAAATGGAAGGGGAATAGGGAATTGAAATGTGTCCGGAGGAAGTGAGAAAGAAAATCGTAGTGGCCTCTCTCTTGTGAGCAACTACTCGAAAGTGCGCATGCGCGCCATTTCAATAGTTAAATGTATTATACACTCACACACACACCGATGCTTGTGTGACAGCAAATGGCGCGCATGCGCACTTTCGAGTAGTTGCTCACGAGAGAGGCCACTACGATTTTCTTTCTCACTTCCTCCGGACATATTTTTCTCTCGAAAACAGTAGACATTCCCCTTCCATATCATATATGTTCTAAGGTAGAGACCCTCTTTTACTGTGATTGGTTAAATTTCAATCTAATCCCAATCCGTAGTCTGATACGGGCTTAAA